TTCCAATGACACTGCTGCTCAGCCTCTAGCTAAAAACAATCAAATATCTCCCCCTAGCTACCTAGGAGGGTACTACACAGCTGGTCAGACTGATTTGTGTCTGATCAACTGCTTAGGAGGCCAGAGGAAATGTCTGTCATGCATGGTATACGTCTGTCATGCGCACATACACTATATAGCTAAAAGTATTGGGCCTGCCCTCCAAATCATGTGATTCAGGATGTTCCAATCCCCTCCATATCATGTGATTCAGGTGTTTCAATCCCCTCCATATCATGTGATTCAGGTGTTCAAATCCCCTCCATATCATGTGATTCAGGTGTTCCAATCCCCTCCAGATCATGTGATTCAGGTGTTCAAATCCCCTCCATATCTTGTGATTCAGGTGTTCCAATCCCCTCCAATTATGTGATTCAGGTGTTCCAATCCCCTCCATGGACACAGGTGTATACAATCAAAGCCCCCTAGGCATGCAGACTGCTTCTACAAACATTGGTGAAAGAATGGGTCGCTCTCAGGAGCTCAGTGACTCCAAGCGTGGTCCCGTGATAGGTGGCCACCTGGCAATAAATCCATCTGTGACATTTCCTGGCTACTAAATATTCCACGCTCAACTGTTAGTGGGATTATAACAAGTGGAAGCAAATGGGAACAGCAACTCAGCCACCAAGTGGTAGGCCACGTCACATGACAGAGTGGGGTCAGCGCATGCTGAAGCGCACAGTGCGCAGAAGTCGCCAACTGTCTGCAGAGTCAATAGCTAAAGACCTCTAAACTTGATGTGGCCTTCAGATGAGCCCAACAACAGTGCGTAGAGAGCTTCATGGAATGGGTTTCCATGGCTGAGCAGCTGCATCCAAGCCTTCCATCACCAAGTGCAATGCAAAGCGTCAGATGCCGTGGTGTAAAGCACACCGCCACTGGACTCTAGAGCAGTGGAGACATGTTCTCTGGAGTGACCAATCACGCTTCTCTGTCTGGCAATCCGATGGACGTGTCTGGGTTTGGCGGTGGCCAGGAGAACGGTACTTGCCTGACTGCACTTTGCCAAGTGTAAAGTTTGGTGGAGGGGGGTTTATGCTGTGGGGTTGTTTTTTTTAGGGGTTGGGCTTGGCCCCCTAGTTCCAGTAAAGGGAACTCACATTTTGGACAATTTCATGCTCCCAACTTTGTGGGAAGAGTTTGGGGATGGCTCCTTCCTGTTCCAACATGACTGCCCACCAGTGCACAAAGCAAGGTCCATAAAGACATGGAGGAGCCAGTTTGGGGTGGAGGAACTTGACTGGCCTGCACAGAGTCCTGACCTCAACCCCATAGAACACCTTTGGGATGAATTAGAGCGGAGACTGTGAGCCAGGCCTCCTCCCCCGACATCAGTGCCTGACCTGACAAATGTGCTTCTGGAAGAATGGTCCAACCTTCCCATAGACACCCTCCTAAACCTTGTGGACGGCCTTCCCAGAAGAGTTGAAGCTGTTATAGCTGAAAGGGCGGGGCCAACTCAATATTGTACCCTACCCTACGGACTAAGACTGGGGGCCATTAAATGTCATGTGCGTGGAAAGGCCGGCAGCCCAATACTATTGGCAATATAGTGCATATATATATATATATATAATATAGAGAGAGAGAGAGATACATGATATTTAAAGTATTAATATAGTTCTGAAACACATTTGTTTCTCTTTGGCTTTAATTTAGTGTGCCGAGATAACATTCTATGTTGGAATTCCTATTATTTCAATTAAGTAATAGAGTACTATTGTTTAATATCCTTCAAAAAGCAGCTAGCACAGTGATAGAACACTTTCCATATAAAATGTGAGGTTTTTGTAGTCAAGTAGCACAGTTGTTGAGTAACGATAACAAATAGGATTCTAATGACCAATGGTAGACGTAGGTGTACATCTATGAACATGAGCTAAGCCGAGATAGTGACTTTGGCTTGCAGCATCCTGCTTTACTGTACCTTGCAATATTTTAATGGGATTTATGATGCCTCTGCTTTTTGTTGAATGTAATGTAAGGAAGGTTCTTCCCACTGATCCCCAATGTAAGGGGCATTCTTCCCACTGACCTCCAATGTAAGGGACATTCTTCCCACTGATCACCAACGTAAGGGACATTCTTCCCACCGATCACCAATGTAAGGGACGTTCTTCCCACTGACCCCCAATGTAAGGGACATTCTTCCCACTGACCACCAACGTAAGGGACATTCTTCCCACCGATCACCAATGTAAGGGACGTTCTTCCCACTGACCCCCAATGTAAGGGGCATTCTTCCCACTGAACCCCAATGTAAGGGACATTCTTCCCACTGATCACCAATGTAAGGGACATTCTTCCCACTGACCTCCAATGTAAGGGACATTCTTCCCACTGATCACCAATGTAAGGGACATTCTTCCCACTGACCTCCAATGTAAGGGACATTCTTCCCACTGATCACCAATGTAAGGGACATTCTCCCACTGATCACCAATGTAAGGCAACAATTTTCCAACTGGCTACCAATGTAGGAGAACATCTGCCCAGTGATCACCAACCTAAGGTTACGTAAGTTCAAATCCCAACCATGGCACCACCTGCCTGAAGTTTGCATGTTCTCCCTGTGCCTGCGTGGGTTTCCTGCGGGTACTCTGGTTTCCTCCCACACTCAAAAGACATGCTGATAGGTAAATTGTCTCCTGTCTACATTGGCCCTAGTATGTGTATGTATGAATGTGAGCTAGGGACCTTAGACTGTAAGTTCCTTGGGGGCGGGGACTGATGGGAACGTACAATATATATGTAAAGTGCTGCATAAACTAACGGCACCATATAAGTATGTGAAATAAATAATTTGGAATAAATCAATTAAAAAAAAGGGACAGAATACTGTAAAGTGTAGAGCTTTTACTTTCTTTATTTTAGAAAAGCAGAACGAGAGATTAACACACAATCAAATCATTTCTTTCAATCTCGCATAGCTGAAGAAAAAGAAAGATCAAATTCAGAGAACAAGAATGATTGAATGCGGAGGGGAGCTCAGCGGCACCACATCCCAAAATTCATCAAAATGAGAGAAGATACTAAGGAAGAAAAAAGGAGGAGAATGATAGAAACATAGAAAAAAATCACATAGAAAAAAAAAAAGGAAGTAGATGAAATATTAAAGATCAAATGAAATCACTTCCCAAGCTGTTCAATTCTGGCATTTCCGTCCTACGTGTAAAAATCACCATTTATCTGCTAAAAAAATTACATTACCCCCACCCACACTTTTTTTTTTTTCGCTAGCAGAGACCCTAGAGTATAAAATTGCGGTCGCTGAAATGTTTTACATTACATAGTATTTGCTCAACAATTTTTCCAACACAATTGTTTTGAAAAAAAAAAAATACACTTTAACAGCTTATTTAAAAAAAAAAAAAATGCAGAGGCGACTAAATACCACCGAAAGGAAGCTCAATTCATGAGAAAAAAAAAAGGGACGCAAATTTCACTTGGGAGCGGCGTTGCATGACTGCAAAAAGTCAAAAATATTGTTTTTTTTTCTCAAAATTGTCAGTCTTTTTTTGTTATAGCGCAAAAAAAAAAATGAAAAAAAAAAAAAAAAAAAAAAAAAAACATGCAGGCAATTAAATACCACCGAAAGGAAGCTCAATTCGTGAGAAAAAAAAAAGGACGTAAATTTAATTTGGGTGCGGCGTTGCATGACTGCGCAATTGTCAGTTAAAATAACGCAGCGCCGTAATGCAAAAAAAAAAAAAAAAAACCTGGTCAGGAAGGGGGGGGGGGGGAGAACCCTCTGGAGGGCGAAGGGTTACAATGGAGAAGCTGCTGAATTGCATGGTAGTGCGTTTTCACTGTGTTTTGCATTTTATTATTCTGCCCTGCAACAAAAAAAATTCCACTGTAAAAAAAAAAAAAGAAATAAAAAAGCTAAACAAACGCGGTAAAAATGCGTTAAAAATGCGTGTAGAAAAATGAATAAAAAGCCAAACTGCATAGGTGTGAACGGAGCCGGATTCCATTGATAATAAATGTAAGCATCCCTATTTATGGAGAGATCTGTGGTCTGTAAGACCCCCACATCCCTCTTCTATGCTGGAAAGCATGCAATTAAAAAAAAAAATAATAATAATAATAATAAATAATAATTTCAAGCTTTCCAGCAAAAGAAATGGCAGTGCTTACATCCGCCAGTGCCGGATGTGACGTGATGACATCACTTCCGGCTTCCCAGGGTCATAGAGATGGCTGAGGACCCTATGACGTCATGAGGGCGGGAAGTGGTTAATAATAATGACACATGGGCTTGTCCAATGCTTTTACATTACATAATTCTTTGGTGAAGAACAAGGATACATTTCTGATTAAAACCTTTCCCGCACTCTAAACATGAATAAGGACGCTCCCCTGTGTGAATTCTTTGATGCTTAACAAGTTGTACTTTCTGAATGAAGCCTTTTCCCGCACTCTGAACATGAATAAGTCTCTCTCTCGCCCGTGTGTATCCTCTGGTGATTACCAAGGTCTCTTTTCTTAGAGAAACATTTCCCACACTCTGAACATTTAAAGGGAAGCTCACCCGTGTGGATTTTCTGGTGTGTTAGAAGAAGGTTTCTTCGTTCTCTAAACCATACACCACACTATGAGCATAAGTACGAACACTCGTCTGTGTGGATTCTCTGATGATTAAGAAGGTGTGCCTTCTGAATGAAACATTTTCCGCACTCTGAGCATAGGAATGGGACGCTCGCCCGTGTGAATTCTCAGGTGAAGGAGATAGTTTCCTTTTCGGCTGAAACATTTCCCACACTCTGAACATGAGAAAGGACGCTCACCTGTGTGACACCTCTGGTGACTGAGGAAGTTACCTTTATGACGAAAACATTTTCCGCACTCTGAACATGAAAAAGGAAGCTCACCCGTGTGACATCTTTGGTGACTAAGAAAGTTTCCTTTCTGACTGAAGCATTTCCCGCACTCTGAACATGAAAAAGGAAGGTTACCCGTGTGAAGTCTCTGGTGATTAAGAAAGCTTCCTTTCTGATTGAAACATTTCCCACACTCTGAACATGAGAAAGGATGCTCACTCTTGTGAATTTGCTGGTGGATAACAAGATGTCTTTTTTGAGTAAAGGCTTTTCCGCACTCTAAACATGAATAAGGGCGCTCACCCGTGTGAACTCTCTGGTGAAAGACAAGACTACTTTTCTGAATGAAACTTTTCCCGCACTCTAAACATGAATAAGGACGCTCACCTGTGTGAGTTTTCTGGTGTTTAAGAAAGTTTCCTTTATGTATGAAACCTTTACCACACTCTGAACATGAGAAAGGACGCTCACCAGTATGAATTTTCTGGTGATTAACAAGTTCCACTTTCTGAAAAAAACATTTCCCGCACTCTGAACATGAATAGGGACGCTCACCTGTGTGAATTTTCTGATGTTTAAGAAGGTTTCTTTTGTCACGGAAACATTTCCCGCACTCTGAACATGAGAAAGGACGCGCTCACCCGTGTGACTTCTCTGGTGAGTAGCAAGGTCTACTTTCTGATTAAAACATTTCCCGCACTCTGAACATGAATATGGACGCTCGCCTGTGTGATTTCTCAGGTGGTTAAGAAGGTTGCTTTTGCAAGTGAAACACTTTCCACAATCTGAACATGAATAGGGACGGTCTCCTTGGTGAATTCTCTGGTGATTAAGAAAGTTATCTTTACGAACAAAACATTTCCCGCACTCTGAACATGAGAAAGGTAGTTCGCTTCTCTGATGTGTAAGAGGCTCTCTTGATTCTTTGAAAGATTCTCCAGATACCATACATGACAAGGATTGCTCTGCTGTGTGATCTCCTTCATGGCTTACAGAAGATCCCTTGAGGTGAGATGGATCTGTTGGTGTATCTGGATGGTGAGATCCCAGATTGGTGTCAGCAGTAATAGTTTGTGGGTTATGGGAAGATCCCTCAGGATCAGAGGAATCCATTGGTCTCTGCGAGTGATGAGGTCTCTGGTGTATTTTTTGTGTATCGGCATTTTCTCCTGGAGGACATTGTGTGGTGGCATCTTCATCTGCTTTATATTCTGAAGATCCGTTATTCCAGACATAGAGTCCACCTGTTGGAAATCAACGTTTCCATGTTAGAGGAATTCTTCCTTCAGAAGTCATATACAGGATGTTGGTCTAACGCTCTACAGTATCTCAGAGCTCCGGCATGGAATTGGGGCCATCAGAACAGAGAATATGAATCAACCAGACAAAGGATACAAAGATGGACCTTTCATATGGTGTCCAGTATCTCCTCCTCATTTGTTGGGAACATGACGTTATATTGAGGAATGGAGATGGACCTCCATGGTGTCCAGTATCTCCTCCTCATTTGGATACAATATTGATGGACCTATCATATGGTGTCCAGTATCTCCTCCTCATTTGTTGGGAACATGACGTTATATTGAGGAATGAAGATGGACCTTTCATATTTGTCCAGTATCTCCTCCATTTGTTGGGAACATGACGTTATATTGAGGAATGAAGATGGACCTTTCACACCATTAAGATTATCTCCACCTGTAATTATTTAAATAGTACTAGAATTGAAAGAAAAAATATAAAATTGTTTCTGCATTTCGTGTTTGTGACTTACTTGTGTCCATATGTAGAGAAGGTTCCTCCGGTTTACTTTTCATAACCATCTCCCCCTCCTCCATAGACTGCTGATCTCCACCCACCAACGTCTCTTCTTCTTCCACTTTAATCTCAACTTTGATGTCTTTTAGTTCTTCATTCTAAACCCAAAGATGATAGATATGAAACATCTAGAAAAAAGTAACTGCATTAGAAAAGATTATATGTAAGAATGTGATAACAGAATTAATTTTTCCTTTAGTTCTGTAGCTCAGTCCTACCTACCTGATGATGGTGAGGGATGCTGTGATCTCCCTGTGTGGAATCCCGGGAATATAAAGAACTACCCTCCATAGGCTGCTGATCTCCACTAACAAACATCTGTTCTTCTAATTTAATTTTAACTTTGATGTCTTTCAGTTCTTCACCCTAAACCCCAAAGATGATAGAAAACATTCGTAAAATAAAGAGATTATATAAAAGAATGTCATCTCATATCATAGAGTTTATTTTAGTTCCAGTTTATCAGTCCCACCTACCTGATGATGGTGAGGGATGGAGGGTGATCTTCCTGTGTGGAATCCCAGGAATACAGAGGACGGGGACATCTCTCTGGTGGGTTCCCATACTGGATCCATCTACCTGATGATGGTGGGGGATGGTGTGATCTTCCTGTGTGGAATCCCGGGAATACAGAGGACGGGGACATCTCTCTGGTGGGTTCCCATGACTGGATCCATCTGTAGAAAACACACACACTGACTGAATCCATTGTTTCTATGTGTTTATCAGATGATGGGGGATCTAGGTGGACCCTCCGTACTGCTCTCTCCTTTACAATAAAGTCTCCTCTTACCCGGTGATGTGAGGGGCGGCTGATTGTCCATCATGAAGTCCTTGTAGAGGTCCTTGTGTCCTTCTAAATACTCCCACTCCTCCATGGAGAAATAGACAGTGACATCCTGACACCTTATAGGAACCTGACACACACAATGATACAGTCACCATCCAGACACATCCCTTGGATAAAGTAACTTCCTGTCCAGGGGATGATTGTCAAACAAAACAAGGGGGAAAATAAGCCCGACTGAGGTACATAGAATGACTATACTGTGGGGCCTCTCCTATTAGTATCACTGGACTAGCTCTGGAGTAAAAGCTGGATAAATGGTTCTATATTTAGGATGTATCCGGTCTATAAACCAGAGGCTCTGGATGGACGGTTGGATAAATGGTTCTATATTTAGGATGTATCCGGTCTATAAACCAGAGGCTCTGGATGGACGGTTGGATAAATGGTTCTATATTTAGGACGTATCCGGTCTATAAACCAGAGGCTCTGGATGGACGGTTGGATAAATGGTTCTATATTTAGGACGTATCCGGTCTATAAACCAGAGGCTCTGGATGGACGGTTGGATAAATGGTTCTATATTTAGGACGTATCCGGTCTATAAACCAGAGGCTCTGGATGGACGGTTGGATAAATGGCTCTATATTTAGGACGTATCCGGTCTATAAACCAGAGGCTCTGGATGGACGGTTGGATAAATGGCTCTATATTTAGGATGTATCCGGTCTATAAACCAGAGGCTCCGGATGGACAGTTGGATAAATGGCTCTATAGTTCGACCTTTAAGTGGCCAAAAATTAAAATAGCATGATATTACCTCATTTACCTTGAGATCCGGAAGTGTCTCCAAACATATTTCCTAACAAGTCACTTTTTATCTGGAACTTCCTGTCTTCACCCTACCTCACTTCCTTCTTGTTCCATGCTCTTGAGATCTCCATCTTGTGGAGAATATAAATACTGCTGCCTACGTTATCCTTTTGGATATGAAAACCTGCATCACGGTGAAATCTTCAATCTCTTTGCATATTTTATACATCAAAGTAAAATATCAGTAATTAAAGTATCAAAAATATCAATTTAAATTTTTATATATACAGTATGTACACTTAGCCATTACTTTGTGATCACCCACCTAATATTGAGTAGACCTCCTTTTTGCTGCCAAAACAGCCCTGCTGCCTCGTCGGACATCACTTGAAGGCAGGGGCGGACTGACCATTTGGAAACTCGGGCACCGCCCGAGGGCCCATGGTCAGTGGGGGCCCCATGAGATGCCAGTTACCTTTTTCATAGGCTTTTTTGAGTTTGGGCCCCATGATCCCCTATTGCCCGGGGGGCCCCATGAATTGTCAGTCCGCCCCTGCTTGAAGAAGGTACGCTGTGGTATCTGGCACCAAGCCGTCAGTAGCAGATCCTTTAAGTCCCGTACATTGGGAATTTGGGTGTTCATGGATTGGACTTGTTTTTTCTGCACATTCCACAGATGCTCGATTGGATTGAGATCCGGAGAATTTGGAGGCCAAGTCAACAGCTCAAACCCATTGGGTTGATTTTCCAAAACTGGGGAGTGCAAAATCTGGTGCAGCTCTGCATTGAAACCAATCGGCTTCCATATTTTTTGGTTAACAAGCTGAAGTTAGAAAAAATATATATAATGGCGCCTATGGAAAAAGTAAAAAATCTATATATATCTATAAATCACTTATTATAATATACCAGCTGCAAAAAATCACCATAAATCAATAAAGAGCAGTAAGTAACACAAAAAAGTATTTTGCGCTAGTAAAAAATTATCTCCATAAATCAAATGTGTAAATGGTGCAAAAAAATATATATATGAAAAAAATGTTCACACTTTTTAACACAAAAAACGTGCACCAAAAAGATAAATAAAGTGACAATACCACCACCAAAATAAAACTCACCAGAGCTAAAAAAAAATTTTTTAAACCATATATTGCTCTGGGAACAGTAGTATTAATAATACTGATAAGTCATTCATAGATGTATCTTCAAGGAATAGTATTCTGCAGAGCCCAGATCCACATAGACCAATTTCAGATGGAGCCAATTACTTTCAAATCAATTATCATCAAGGAAATCCACTTCTCAAGAAAGCCACCCTTAATCGTATCCAAAGAGGGAAATGCCAGACACTCGGAAGAAACAGAAGAGCTTCATGGTGCAGTATTATTAAAACAACATCTTTATTTAGTACTCATTGTACTTAACTCAAAAGGTGTTCCAGCTGACACCAGCATCAACAGCAATCACAGCAAAACAGACCCAGCTACTCGGCACATGCGCAGTAGCTCATAGGGAACGTAATGACGTCACATCGATCAAGGGCGGAGCCACCTCGTTTGAAGGTGGCTTTCTTGAGAAGTGGATTTCCTTGATGATAATTGATTTGAAAGTAATTGGCTCCATCTGAAATTGGTCTATGTGGATAATAAGTGGCTCTGCAGAATACTTTTCCTTCAGGGAAGATGTTACATCTATATAGCCCACCAACTTCTAGATCAGTTTATTAATACTACTGCCATTCCCAGAGCAATATATGGTTTAAAAAATTTTTTCCAGGGCTTTTTTAGCTCTGGGAATGCATTTTGGTGGTGGTATTGATCTGGCTTTATTTATCTTTTTTTGCTGCACGACTGTTTTTTTGTGTTAAAAAGTGTGAACATTTTTTTCATAAATATATTTTTTTGCACCATTTACACATTTGATTTATGGAGATAATTTTTTTTACAGCAAAATACTTTTTTGTGTTAACACAAGCTGAAGTTAGAAGCTTATTGGCTACCATGCACAACTGCACCAGATTTTGCACTCACTGGTTTTAGTAAATCAACCCCCGTGTGTTCCTCAAACCATTCTTGAACCATTTTTGCAGGGTGTAAGTCACATGATGCTGCTGAACTGAGGCCACTGACATCAAGAA